CCCTTGTTCTCCCCACCCATCAGAGGTTTCCTAGCCTTCTTTGCCTCCAAATGTGAGGAGTCAACGATGGACGCCTGGGTGCTCAGCACTATTAGGTCAGGGTTACAATTGGACTTCCTAACCCCACCCCCCAATTTTTTTTTGATCTGTCCTGTGTCTCGGGACATTTCCAGGCAAGCCCTCATGAATCAGGCCATTCAGCACCTTCTTGAAATCACGGCTATTCAACCTGTTCCCCCGTCTCAATGAGGATGTGGGCTTTACTCTCGCCTTTTCATCATTCCCAAAGCCTCAGGGGGATGGCGAGCCATCCTTGATCTAAAATTTCTCAACCAATTTGTAAAATACAGGCGATTTAAAATTCAGACTCTGCATTCTATTTTAGAGAGCGTTCGAGAGGGCGACCTCCTCTCTTCCATTGATCTCACTGAGGCTTACCTCCACATCCCAATTTGGCCACATCATCGCCAGTTTCTCTGTTTCTGTTATTAGAATACCCATTACCAGTATCGAGCACTTCCCTTCGGCCTCTCATCGGCTCCAAGGGTCTTCACAAAGGTTCTGGCAGCATTGGTGGCATCTCTGTGTTCTATTCCAGTGAGGATCCAATGCTACTTGGATGACATTTTGATTCTTTCCTCTTCCATCCCTGCGGCCCATCGGGATTTGCAAATTACCCTGTCATGTCTCCAGAGCCACGGATTTTCCATCAACACCAAAAAGAGCCAGCTCTCTCCTACAACCAAATTGCAACACTTGGGAGCAGTCATCAATACCATGTCGTGCCAGGTTTTCCTGTCCCCAGCTCGTGGAAAGAGCCTTGCAGAGATCATCAGCCAGATCCAGCAACATCAAATTGTCCCCCTGTCGCTGCTGTCCAAACTTCTGGGGAAGATGGTTTCCTGTATTGGCATCGTCCTGTGGGCTCAACTCCACACCCGAGCCCTCCAATGGTTCCTGCTTCCCTACCAACAAGCAGGAACCAGCCACTCATCCATCAAGGTCCCACTCCTGCCACAAATCCGGAGATCTCTCAACTGGTGGCATTCCCCATCTATCTGGAGGGGACTCCTGTTCAGGGAACCAGACAGGCTAGTGATAACCACCGATGCCAGCCTCCTGGGTTGGGGTTCCCATATGCAGGGCCAGATAGCTCAGGGCGTTTGGTCCAGATCGGAACAGACCCTTCCCATAAATTGGCTAGAGCTCAGAGCTATTTTTCTGGCTCTCAAGCATTTCAGGCAATCAGTGACCGGCTCTCATGTTCTAGTCCTTACGGACAACATGGCCGCAAAGGCTCATGTCAACCGGCAAGGGGGGATGGTTTCCAAAGCCCTCATGAGAGAGGATCTACGGCTGGGGTTATGGGCAGAGAAATACCTCTTATCGATCTCGGAGGACCACATCTCCGGGGTCGACAACTCCCAGGCTGACTGGCTCAGCAGGAGCCTAGTCGACCAGGCAGAATGGTCCATTCCTCCGTCTCTATTCAGGGATCTTTCCCTCAGATTCGGAACACCAGAGGTGGAACTTTTCTCCACTCCTCAAAAGGCCCAAGTCACCAGATTCTTCACCAGGTTTCCTTGCCAGGGAGCGGAGGGGACCAATGCTCTTCGGTGCAGATGGCCCAAGGGTCTCCTCTATGCTTTCTCCCCGCTTCCCATCATTCTGGCAGTAATTCGGAAAATGTTGGAGGAACGTGCGGAGCTCCTCCTCCTGGCACCCTATTGGCCAAGGAGGCCCTGGTTTGCGGACCTGGTCAGCCGATCAGTGGCTTCTCCTTGGAGGATCCCAGCCCATCTAATCTCCCTTCACCAGGGGGCCCTGCTCCACCCAGAGCCCCAGTGGTTCAAGCTGACCATGTGGCACTTGAGCGGCAGTGGCTAGAGGAGGCTGATCTTCCAGAAGGGGTCATCCTCACTATCCTGGCTTCTGGCAAACCTTCTACAAGGCGCATCTATGATGCCACCTGGAAGGCTTTTTCCTGATGGTGCCTCAGGGAGGGTCTTTCTCCTGCTTTAGCCCAGTTGGCAGAAGTTCTTAGCTTCCTTCAGCATGTGCTGGAGAAAGGTTTGGCCCCCAACACCTTATGCAGGCAGGTTGCGGCCCTCTCCTCAGTCCTTTCATGGGGTTTGTTTCCTTCCTTATCCCATCACACTTCAGTTGGGAGGTTTTTGAAAGGGGCTTCCAACCTGCACCGTCCGGTGTTTCACAGGTATCCTTCCTGGGACCTTCATTTGGTCCTTAATGCCCTTACAAAGCCCCCCTTTGAACCCCTTAGAACAGTGTCTCTCCATTTCCTGACTCTGAAGGTAGCGTTCCTTGTTGCCATCACTTCTGCCAGGAGGGTTTCCGAGCTTGCTGCTCTTTCCATCAGACAGGACCTTTGTTCCTTTCACGATGATAGGGTTGTTCTTCGTCTGGACCCCTCATTTATTCCAAAGGTCCTGGTTTCACAGTCCCAGGACATTGTTTTGCCTGACTTCTGTCCTCTCCCACACCATGACTTAGAGCGGCAGTGGCACACACTAGACATAAGAAGGGCCCTTAGAATATACATTAAGCGCACTTCCTCCTTCAGGAAGTCGGAAGCCATGTTTGTTTCCTTTTTCCCTTCTCACTTGGGGCACAAGGCCTCTTCTACTATTAGCAGGTGGGTCAGGTCTTGCATTGAGCAGGCCTACAAAGCTGCGGCCCTTCCGGTTCCCCGAGGTCTGACGGCACACTACCAGAAGCGCGGCCACTTCTGCTGCCTGGGCGACCCAAGCATCCTTGGAGGAGATTTGTTGTGTGGCCACGTGGACATCCCCGTGTCCTTTCATCAGACACTACCATCTGGATGCTTTTGCCTCGGCGACTGCAGCCTTCGGCAGATGGGTTCTTCAACAAGTGGTTCCACAGTTGGTGTGATGAGCCAGACGAGTACCCGCCCGTGGACATGCAAGCTTTGGTATATCCCATCCTGGGGTCTCGATGCAGCATGGAGGAGAATGGGTGTCGGTAGAAGTTACCGTGAATGCCCTTTCTATCTATGCTGCGAGAGAGCCCAGCTGCAGTAATAAATCAGCTTCGGTACATACCAGGCCTCAAGGCCTCAAGGCCTCACGTAGGCTGAAAGCGTACCAGGAACAGAGAACATCAATCAACAAAACGTCATCATGGGCTAATAACTGGACTGCAAACGCTGATTTGCTACTTTGTACCTTTCAAACTGACCATGTAACTGTGATTGGATGTTACTATGTGTGCACTAATATTTCTACTCATGTAGCATAATGATTGGATAGAATTCACCACTTGTGACGTATCACTATGTGTTTTTAATAAAAGAGCTTCCCGAACTTGTGATCGGGGCAGCTCACCCAAGATAGAACCTGCGTTGGTGTCTTTCTTGATGCTTTAGACGACCCAGTGAGAAGCCTTCCTAATGCGGAGCAAAGCCGCACCCAGCCCCTACCTTGATTCGTCCGGAGAGGGTAAGACATATTTCTGTATTTATTTTGGGCTTTCAGAGACACCTTTCAGTCTGTCAAGTATCTTCGCCAAAGCTGGGGTCTCTCCCGGGGGCTGGCTTTTATATCTTAGTACAGACTCAGCTATGACGTCATAGGAAGGAGTCAACCCATCCTGGGCTCTCTCGCAGCATAGGTAGAAAGGGCGTTCACGGTAACTTCTACCAACGCCCAGTCTACAGGCTCTTTAACCCCAAGCAATGGTTCTGTTCAAATGAGTTATATTGTAGGCAAGACTCCCCTAAAGGAAATTGAAAAATTAGTTCTGGTTCAACTAAGAATTGAGTATATTCTTCCAAATCTATTGAAGAATAAGGCCTTGTTATTTTTTGTGCCTTGCATTATGTCCCTCGATGTGCGATGTGTTGCTTGAATATTGACTGATTTCACTGTTTGCCCAAACGTACTATATACATGGTTACTTTGCCTGTACTATGTTATCCTAAATTAATTTTCCCTATGAAGTCAGTGGAATGTCATTGTGATGTTGTTTGTAGTCCCTAGTAATTGATGGAAATTAAAGCATTCCTTTCTGTAATGGAAACATAATTTTGTGCAACTGTTTCTGCAAGTAATGATGCTTTATAAAACGTCTCTATCTTCATGTATTATAACAATGTTATTAAACTTTGAAAGGTGTGGGGATTTCATTTTATTATTTTTTACTTTTTTAAATTTCTTTTAATACATTATTGGCAGCTATATAAATTATCTAAAATAAATAAATACATAAAATAAAGTGTTGCAGCAAATCCTGCTTCCAAATCAGGACATGACACCACGAAAGGTTGGAGAATACAGGTTTTATTTGTGCACAAGGTTCAGAGCATTAGCATGGCAAATTCTGAACCCCTGGCTCTTCCTGAGGCGTCACTTTTATACATAACATGACCTAAGACTAGGCTGGGGCGTTCCTTTTATTAAGTTTTACCAAAAAAGGAGAATAACATATATATAGAGAAAAGGAGAAATACATTTGATTACTCTGTTATCTTACACCATCTGTCATTTTCCATATCCACCCTTGTATATGGGAACATAGCTAGTTTCTTGTTTCAGTAACTTTGTGGTTTTGCACAATATTGTTACATTAAGCAAACTTGGAGTTAGGGGACTTCTGCTAAATGTATACATACTTTCTGTGTGATCTTCCATTCTGCTTCATAAGAATATGTAGGATGAGAGTATCATGGAGTCTTATTAATTTTTTCTGCTTCTGACATGTTGCAATTTTTACTTGTAATACATTAGATATATTTTTTATCTATTTTCTGCATAGTGTTGGAAATTTCTATGTATGGTGATGTAGTATGCATCAAATTCTTTTATATGGAAAAATAAGACTAGATTTTCTCTTGTTTATAAATGCTTCATAATTCATGTTTACTATTTTGAATAATTGGCAAATTGCAGCAGGGATGTGCAATTTATTTCCATTATTTATAATTCTGCAATAAATTGAATGCAAATTCTTTTGTCCCCATCTAGGTATTAAGTTTATCTTGTGAAGCTTGTAAAAAGGTTACCCTAAATGTGCCTCCAAAACTAAATCCAGACACACTAATTGGCCAAGGTGAGAAAATGGCAAGTTTCTTAAATATAATAATTAGAATCTAATATTTGTGGTTGTTTTTGTCCCCTCTTCCTCCCTATACCAAGATTTTTTTCAAGTAAGCCATATTGTATTCGAAAGAGAATTTTCCTGATTAAAGAGTATTAGGATATTAAATATGCTTATTAAAGAGTGAGTTAGGCAAACTCAGCAAGATATTAGGATTCTAAATTTAAAAAATACACCAATGAACAGACCAAATGTCAGCTTGGAAGAAAGTGTACTAAAATTACAATTTTTACCTAAATTAAAGGGAGCTAGCTATTTATTTACTTCCTTCTATCTTGGCATATATTTGGAATACCAACAACCATTTTATTTATTTTCTGCAATTCATTTGCTCCACTTAGCATCTCTGAGCAGTATCTAACCAGACATGATAATAATTTAAGATTTATTATTTAGAGATAAATTAAGCCAAGCTAAATAGGTGAAAATAGACATTTAAAGCTGGATTCCTTAAGTTTTTTCTTTGTATGTCTAACTATTTATCGATGGTCAAATGTATTATGTATATGATATGCTTTCCAATCCCATCTTCCTACCTTTTTCAAGTTCTGGGTGCCAATACATTTAAAAAATAAAAGCTAGAGTTATACAGAGGATATTGGAATTTTATGCATTCCTAAATGGTTTTTCTTTCTTGCTTGAAATTTTACATGGTCTCATCTACAAGACTAAAATCTTGTGACATTTGGCCAGTTTATTTAATTTTAGATTTACACATATATTTTCTATGGGGATTACATCAGAGTTTTGCTATACTCTGATTTATTTAATGCACTTACGTACACAGTGTAAAAAGTTTAGGGTATATACATGTATCTTTAGTCTTTGAGAACAATTCTTTACAACTTTCTTTTCATTTTTTTGTTAGTAAATCTGAAAAGGTGTCTTAGAACTCCTCACCTGATCAGTACCAGTGACCCTGATTTCATAGTTCTGGAAAATGGTTCTATATTTACCACAAATGCAGTTTCTTTGCCTTCTGGAAAGAAAACATTCACCATATTACTCAAGCATTTGCAGAATAGTCAACAAAAGCAAATCCATGTTGATTTACTGTCACATTCTCCAAAAGTAAGTGGCTTGGAATTAGGTGTTATGAAAGTTAATTGACTGTAACAGATTCTAAGACAATCCTGATTTTTGGCTTCTCTATCCTTTTTCATATGTAAATCAGCTCTTCCAAACTTAGTAACTTTTAGATTAATCAACATTGGCCAATCACTGATGGGGATAGATCATATTGTGGAAATTTGAATTAGTTAAAATGCTTGACATCAAAACATTCTTCTAGGAGTTTTGACTGATGAAATGAAGTGAGAGTCTGTTGACATGAGGTTCCTTCTGTGATTTTGGCAATGTGTGAATGTATGATGTATCAAAAGCACATTAAACAAAGAATAATAATAGAGACAACGCTATATGGCTTCTTTTGATTGCCTAGCAGTTCCTGTAAGTTGTCATTAGAATATATAACTCTTAACAGCATTTTTTTAGCATCCCTTTAGCTATAGATGAAAGATAAATTCTTAGTTTATCTTGTTAGAATTGTTGTGTTGGAGAAAGAATGATGATAGTAAAGACATTCCATGAAAAAAGTATATTTGGGCCACTGAAAAATATAAGTGAAGAAGTCAGCTGAAAATACTAGAATAAATTACACATTTAGCAAATATATTGCTATTGCTTATTTGTATATCTTTTGAACTTAGACACACAAAACAGGAGAAATAGTTCTTAGACGCAGTAAACGAAGATGGGCTCCTGTACCAACCAGTATAATGGAAAATTCACTGGGACCTTTCCCAATGCAAATTCAGCAGGTAAGTTAATAAGCTTCCTTTTCCTATTTTAAGTAGGAATATGTACTATTAGCAACCTATATGTAATCCAACTAGTCTTATGTACACAAATATTAGTAATAACTTGCTCATCATTGCTCAAACGGCAAATTACATAAAAAGTTGTACAGATAGTTGCTGATATAACTTACTCACTTTGTTATTCAAGTTGTTTCAATGTTACCACAGTATGATACAAATCTGGTTTTTAATTTCCTTGTTTATTTTGGCAACACCTTTCTAGAAGACTGGTGTATCCAAACTCTGTAATGAAAGAATAAAATTACCAATTTGCTTACCACTCTATTTCCAATTAAAGAAATTCTGCTTTTGATATATATATTCTGCTTTTGAAATATATGCTTTTTTCCCCAAGAGTTATGACACCTTGTTTCATGTGTCCTTGTTAAATAAATACTAGTTATATCTGACTCACATTTTATGAGTTGAAGCTATTGACAGACTTCATCTCCTTGTTCAAATACTGATTGAACAGCACAATAATGTAAATTGATTTTGCAGTTTCTAATGTGATTAGTTGCTGTATGTGTAGTGCCTACTGAGATTTCTAAGAGCTTTTATAAGAGATTGATTTTTAAATTATTTTCCTGATATTTGTGGTAAATATCTAGTTTGACATAGTTCTCAAACACAATAAAGGAAAGTTGAGCAGCAAGACTAGTTTGTTTACAATCTAAATCATCAATAATCTTTGTAATTTTCGAGGTGTGTTTTGATAGGTGTACTGCTATTGCTGTAATGGTTAAAGTAGATTAAACCTTCCAAATAGCAAATGTATATCAGTGTTTAATTTACACACACACACACACACACACTTGCTTATACAGTTGATGTTTAATATAATATTGATTAAAAATTGCAAAGTGCATTGAATTGTTTTGTAATATGAAAAAGTCTATATCTTTGAACTCAATACCACCTTCTGTATTATTATTTATTATTTATAAGTACTAAAAAGGGGAAGCAAGGAAAAGTTATTTGGAAAAATAGGAAATTATAGATATTTACCTCTAACTATCCCCTTCTCTGTACAACTATTTGCAGTATATATAATATTTAAATATCCTTAAAACCATATTATATATTTATATTTGCCTTCTTAATGTACATCAAAGCAAACAATATATAATTAATACATGTGGGCAATATGTAGCCCTTTAGATATTCAATTCCAACTCCTATTCATTTTAACTGCTATCTGAAACAATGAGAAATGGGATGTTACAATTCAGCAACATCTGAAGGACTATATTATCATCTTTTGGCATATATATTAAATACTTTTTAAATGTTTAGATATTTTCTGTGGAGGGGAGGATTGTTTTACTTCAGTTCTGGGATGTAGGACATGGTAATGTTTTCCTTTTCCCTCCCACTTTTTTTTATAGCTATCTTCTGATACAGCTCAAAAATACAACATTACCTATTCCATTGGTGGTCCTGGTGTGGATCAACCACCACTGAATTTTTTTTACATTGAAAAAGAAACTGGAAATCTCTTTGTTACTTGCCCAATAGATCGGGAGGAGTATGAGGAATTTCAGGTAAGAATGATAATTTTATCATTTTCTAAAATGCAGGTTTGCCCTCAGTTCATGATAGCAATTGGGACTGGCTAATTAATGTGATTGTAAAGTGCAATATCATGTGACCAAATCACTTAACTGTGGCAATTCCAGCAGTTCTAGTTGTTATTGTTAAGTGCATCACCATGGGTCATTAAGCAAGAATGTCACATGGTCACCATTACAATTTCCCCATTGATCCTGCAAAAAAAGAGGTCAGAGTGACTGCTGGATGCTCCAACCTCATAATTACAAGCTGAGCACCTGGATCACCATCACATGATTATGTGGACATAAAGAAACTTGGAATGCTGAGGAGTGGTCTTAAGTACGACTTGCTCATATTGCTAATTATTAGAAAATTTAGATTTTATGAAACTCAGAAAAGCAGTTTCATCTCTTGGGAGACTCTGTTTAAGGTTAATCATACTAGTACGTTTCAAGAAGGACCAGGCTGCTAAGCTATTATTACTTCTCCACCCTTATTGCATTTGCTGATTGCCATTCAGCAGCTCTGATTAAGATCCCTTGATCTCTGTTGGAAGGGAAGGTCCCTGGGAACATCTGTTGGGCCACTGTAAGAATTATTCAGGCTATCTGATGGACAACATCATTCAAATATACTCTGACATGGTTCGGTGATGCGATCTAGGATACGCTTCAGCTGTTGACACCTGAGGAAGTAGATAGGGTTCTCTGTGCTGTCAGCTCAGCTACCAGTGTCTTGAATCAGAGTCCTTTCATCATAAAAGTGATCAGGGAGATGACCTGTATTTGGGTCCTTGCTGAGGCGCCAGTCTCTTTAACAGAGAGGGGATGGTATCTACTGCCTTGAAAGAAAAGGTCTTGCATGTTCTCCTCAAGAAGCTGCCCTTGGATTCAATGGTTCTCAATAAATACTGTCCAAACTCCAGCCTTTTAATTCTGTTGAAAGTTGTTGAGAAAGTGGTTGTCCTTAAGTTTCTGGAGGAAGCAGATTATACCTATTTCAGTGAGATTTCAGGCTGGGATTTAGTAATAAGACAGTTTTGGTTGCACTCTAGATGTCCTATGGTAGAGCCAAGATGGTACATTTATATGCTTCTCGATCTCTCAGTGGTTTTTGTTATCACTTGCATGACCTTCTGAGTTGACTTCATGACAGTGATGGGGGAATGGGTTATTCTCTTCCTTTCTGGATAATTTGATCTGACAAGGTGGTACACTCTGGATTCCTCCAGCGAAACAATGCCATTTAACCTATGCCAGTCTTGCGTCTTCTCTGTCACAGAGTCTGCAATCTGGAATGAAGCCCTGTTTGCCCCAAAATCTACTGATGTTTCATAGGGTAGTGAAACCTGACTTTTCACCCAGGCTTTGGGCTAGAACGGTTGAAGTCCTTTTGAGCACTCTGTAATGATTTCATTGTTGCACACTTTTGTCATCTTTTGTCTTTGTTATCATATGGCTTTATTGTTATTTTTTCTGCTGCTTTTTAGTTTGTGAACTGCCCAGAGTTATGGAAATCTGTTTGTGTGCAAATTAAATATGTAACTCAATAAATACTAATGTGCAAGGATTGTAATAGTATATCATGTTAATTGTTAAAATAGATCAGCAAAGAAAATCAACTCTGCATAGACAACAAATTAAAATAGTTTCTTTTTTACAGATAATTTGCTATGCAACGACATTAGATGGCTATACACCAGAGATTCCACTTGTACATTTAATCCGAATTGAGGATGATAATGATAATCCTCCAATTTTTAATCCTGATACAGTTACTTTTATTGTTTTAGAGAATAGCAGATCTGGTAAGCATACATATAATTTGAGAATATTTTATTTTTATATTCTGTTAACAATTTAATCCCTTTTTGGGACTGCAGTTTAATGGATAAGATTCAGCCAATGAAGAGTGAATAGTAACTGAACCTGGTTTCTAAAAGAATGATTACATCAACTCTTTGGAATTGGATTGTTTAATAAATAAAAGTATACAAATTACATATAGCTATTAATATTTTTTATGTGGAATGAAGCCATACAATTCTCTACATTGGAATTTCAAGGTAAAATTCTCTATCTTGGAAACAGTTCACAGATGACCATTTCTATCTTGAAAATATCTTCATCTTAATATCTGATTCACTTTTTTGCTCAGAGACTATTGTCCTCTACTGCTTTGAAGTTCCTTGGATCCTCAATAGCACGGGTGTCAAATACATGATGTCACATTGCTGTCACATGATGTTTCATTATCTTTTTTCCCTTCGCGGGGCTGGGGTGGGCATGGTCTGTCAGTTTGAAACCCCTGCTCAATAGAATTTTGTTTCTGATGATTTGGGTCAGTTTGATACATTATTGAATCTTTTTCTGACTCAATTAATAAAAAACTAAGGAAGCTTCTGTTATTTAAGGTTAGGGTTAGAACATGAAAGTTTCTATTTATATCATATGTTTCGAGCATTGCGCTAAATGTCAACAGTGAAATCAAACTTCTTATTAATTTGCTGAATATTTTTATTTTTATTTGTTTTTAAGAATCCACTGTAACATTGCAGCAAAATTGACAATCACAAATGGATATAATCTTCATTAAACATTATATGCTTGTACTTGAATAAATAATTTCCCCAAAAATTCTTTTAGTAGTTTTAAATTTAAGTGTTGTTGATGAAAATGTGACCAATTTCATGCAGTATGATAAATCACAGCTGTAGTAAAACGAGCAAGACTGGATTGATGAGAAATCGTAGAAAAGAGGGCAACTTAAAGGCAACCAGAAATGTCCTTATTGTATTAATTTAAGTATTACTTGATAAGTAGCATATATACAATACTATTTGGAAGCTAACTCTCTAATAATCCTGGAAGAAGCATATTATGGTAGACCACTGCATTTTTTTTTCCATGTAGGAACCTTCATTGGGAAAATGACTGCAACAGACAGAGATGAACCTGGCACCCTGCACACTAAACTGAAATACAAAATTGTGGGGCAAACTCCTGCTTCATTTAAAGGTGGCTCTTTATTTACTGTACAAGCAGATACTGGTGATATTACTTTGCAAACCCCATCTTTGGATAGAGAGGTAATTCCCTCCCCCTGAAACCTAATGTTGTTATTCTTTACCTTTGCAATTTTCAGGGACAACTTTTAAAGAGGGTGTGGAACCAGAATCTTTCCTTTCAACTATAGACCTGAAATGGTTTTAAGGAATGTACAGTTTCTTTGTAACAAAAGTTTTATTGATCATGGAGCCAATTTGAACCACCAAATTCTTAAGCATGCTACAGGTTTGATTGATGATGCTAACAAAATTGGATTTGTGTCCTTTATCTTGACTTGACTGAAAGATGGTGGATAAAATATTTGTATCTGAAGTACAGTCAAAGAGAATGCAAATTCTCTGGGCTGCACTTTCAAAGAGAGTATGGGAAGCAAATGGAAGCTTGGAAATGTGTTGGTAAGTCAGTTGCTAGCCAAGGGCATAGAATTGGAAGAAGAAATTCCCAATAGTAAGTGGTTTGAGGAAGAAGATGGTGATTTGCCATATTGACAGCTTATACTTTTGAGATAATTACAATGTTAAAAGAGGACCTTTCCCTCTGTGTGTTGTGAGGCTATTCATTCCACAGAGTGAATAGAAGAAGAGCATGCCCCTTAATAATACATTGGTAAAAGCAATTTTTCTCTTTCTGCCATACTTACGTTTAGTCAGATGTATTTTAAACAGATTTCTGAAATTCACAGAAATTGTCATTGGTATGTAATTGGCAGTGCAACAATATATAAAAATATATAAAAATCATTGCAGCCTTACCCAACTTGACCTCTTCTATAATGACTTCTAAAATAGTCATAGTTTTTAAAAAACCCTTGTGATTCATTACTCTATATATTTATAAATTGTATGTAATTCATTTGGTTTTTAAGAATGAATAAACAATATTGATGTCTACAATGCTCTCTTTCAGAAAATAGATAGATACACGGTATTACTGGAAGCAAGAGATATGGGAGGCCAGAGTTTTGGTTTATGCAACACTGCAACAGTTGTAATTGAAGTTGGTGATGTAAATGATCATGCACCAATGTGCGAACATGGTGTGGTAGGTCTGACATGTTCAAACTAATTTTGTTTAATGTTTTTCATTACATATACATATGTCATATTGTGTATATATTTATTAATTATGAATCTAAACCTGCATGTTTTAATCTATCCCTATATGGTTAGCCTAGTATAGAGAGTAAAAAGAATAGTTTTGAGGAAGAGCGGAAAGATCCATTTCATCCAAAGAGATGTGAAGGAAAACATACATTATGTCTGGCACATGTAGAAAGCGTACTGTATGCAAACACCTTGGACCAATATCTCCCTAATTTCCACAGGTATAAAATAGAGAGGAGGGGGAGCACAGCCAGACTTGCAATTTTATGGCAACTTTATGAAGCCAAGAAATAAGTTCTATAGAGGAGTAAAGACTAGTTTAGATTGGCTATGATAAAATGATCTTGCAAATCCAATTGTGTTCTCTCTCCCTTCCCTTTTGTATCTATGGGAATGTATACTCTGTACCTAATAAGGGGATGGTGCAGGGAATTGTTCCATTGAGCTTTTTGTTTTCTAATTCCTTTCAATCCCCTCCCCGAATTTATTTTTGACAGATAAATAAGCACAGTTGAAATCTGTGCATGGAACTCAAATATTGATATGATTATTGAATTGTTTTTTAATTTGTAAACTGGCCATGCTAGAAAAACTTGACATGAAAGGATTGTCCCAAGGAAACCTACAAGTTAACTTATTTATTAAGCCATGATTCCTGTCCTCTTGGTTGCAGAGAAAACAAATGATTTCCCCCAAAACCACTTCCATGTTTAGTTTGAAATGGCTTAATCTACAAATAATATATAACAAAACTAAAATTTGAGATAATTAATAGAGCTAACTAAAGGAGGGGAGTGTGTAATTGGGAAAGCTTGTTTGTTTGTTTGTTTGTTTATTTTCCTTCAAGCCATTGTTTGATTCCTGGCAATAACCTGGAGAAGTCTCTGCAGTGTTTTTTGTTGTTGCAAGATTTCAGTAGTAATTTGCTCTGGTATTCTTCCTAGGTCTTAGAAAGAGTGAATGATGCTGGATTACCCACCTGGCTTTGTACGTAAAGCAGGACCAGAATTCATAGTCTTTTGATTTAGATGTAGTCTGTATTATTATGCACAAAAGCAAATAAAGTGCTGTTTGGGATTATTGCATTTTAGAATAATAATTGCTAGTATCCTGGCTGTTCTGACACACTCTCCAGTGGCTGCTTAAGGGTGAACAGTCCATAACTACAGCGCAGGTGGTTAGATTCTGTGCAGCAGCACTGGGGATTCATCAGAAACACGTGTCTAATCCATCATGGCTATTTTATACAACAAACATGGCAAGCCTTTTGCACTGCTTATTCCTTTGCATTTTAGTATTTATTTGACTACAGGCATCACAGTTTAGTACAGTTAGGCCATGTGTAATTCACAGATTGGATTTTAATATAGATTTTATTTATTTTCTAGAGTTTTTAACTGGATATTCACTGAGTGCTTTTATTTGTTCTGGTCTCTGATCTATTACTGTAATAAAATTGATTGATTGATTGAGTAATACTTTTAAACTTTGTATAATGAAATTAATCTATGAACATTTTTGTTAATTTCAGTATGAAGTATTTATACCTGAAAACACAGTTAATGCAGAAGTAACGAAAATTGGAGTGATAGACAAAGACATACGGGGAACTCCAGCGTGGCATGCTACTTTCAGTATTGTAAAGGGAAATGAAGATGGTTCTTTTAAAATTGAAACAAACCAGGATTCAAATACTGGTACCTTATGTATTAAAAAGGTAATAAGGAAAAGGATTATGCAAAATGTTACAGGATATATATTTCCACCTTTACTTCAAGTTCTATTGGGAATTGCAGTCCTATTTTCCAGTATTGAAAGTGGCAGTGGTTTTCATGATACTTTAACACTGCTAACACTGTAGTTGTATAGTTTTCCTTAAAAGTTACAGTTGCAATAATTTTTCAGTATTGAGTTTTTCCAGGTAGTTGTGTTTGCTGTATTGACTACATATTTTAGTTTTCTCACTATTTTTATTATAAAGTTGATGTAGTTTTTATTTTATGAACATTTGAATACACTCTGTTTTTCTTTACGCTATTCCAATTTCACGGCTGAATACCTTATATTGGTTTTCCAATGCCATGACTCCTATCATTTTCATGACACAAAGCTATGCCCAAGAAATAGGAGCAGGTTTGCAGAAATGCAAAGAAATAATAAAAAACCAAACCTGAACTTGCTTGGCGGCCATGGAACTAGACTGGAGAAAAGGAATCATAAATGGAACTCCCTTTATGCTATCCTGTTTTGTTACAGGTTCTATTTGTTTTATCCAGGGCATTAAAGTTACCCAAGCTCTCTCTTATTCCTAATTTAAATGGCTTCTTGGAGCCAAATAAAATATTTTTATTGATGAAATGTTTTTTTATTATAAAACAATTGCAATGTGATTCTATCTCTTTGCAACAATGCCAAAGAGATAGAATCAGAAGCATTTAAGCTTTTTTAAAAAACACTCAATGATTAGTGTGATGGTGTAACAGTTATTTTGCATGGGCCTGATCTGAAAATTATTCATTAAAGTCAAATGAGATGAGGATAATTTTTAAAAAATTAATGGCATTCTAGATTAGCACTGTTAGAGATTCTGTGTTGTTGTTTGTTCTGAGTTTGTTGTATTAACAGAAGCATAGAGATGGACATTTTTTCTTCAACAGAATTTATAATTGGGAAAAAAAAGAAGAGAGAGATTTGACTTTGCTTCCTGTCTTTCTTACACCTCAAATTGTTGCTAAACAGGAAATTGCTTTTTTTTTAAAAAAATGCTGGTTTGTACTTCCATGATTATAACTTAGAATGGAACTCTACTAACTTGTAGCAAATCTTGTAATATATTTTCTAGGGACTGGACTATGAAAAGACCAAGGAGAGAAGATTAGAAATTGTTGTGAATAATGAAGTACCTTATGTATTAGCACCAAATTCGGGACCAATTTCTACAAGTACTTGTGTTGTTGTTGTTAAAGTACGAGATATGGATGAAGGGCCTGAATTCCATCCTAAAATATATATTTTGGATATAAAAGAATGTTTGAAAGCTGGAACAGTGGTTGGCCATTACTCCGCAAGTGATCCAGAGACCGGAAATAATGAAGACATACGGTATTGTATTTTGTGACTTAATTCACTTTCTTGTCCTGTTTGTTATGGATTATGGGCACATTTTGCTGTTAAGGAATTATAAGCCTAGAGCAGAGATTGGCAAATTTCTGATGCAGCTGGACGACTGGAAGGGTTTGTTATTGCTGGAAAGCTAGTGAGATTACAGGATGTGACCGAGGAGTTTTGGGTTTGTGTTAAGAATGATAATTGAATTAGCAAACTTCGAAGAGACCAAACTGCTTCCATGTTCATCCTTCAGATTATCTAACAGCCTTCCATGATCCAAAATTCAATTTAGGATGGGAGAGGGGGATTGGGAGAAAATGTAAGAGTTAAAATGGGATAATTTTCCTTCCAGAGCAGGAGGATGGGGGTTAGTGCTGTCAAAATGATGTGTATGATTGAAACCTTGATCCCCCACATTATTTTTTTAAATATCAGAAATTTTCACATTTGGTTGCACAAATATGGTATGCTTGGGATTAGGGTACCCTTAAAACCCTGCATTAAAAACCTCATTTTCAGATAAGGATGCTGTTCCATCCTCATCCTATTGGTGAAATTATATGTGCACTTCTATTGCTGTTGGTATATATAGCTTCAGAGATCTGATTGTCTTATTTTTCCTATTAACATATTTCCCAAATACTAGTGGGGTGGGTCAAATTTAGGAAATTTGTTGTTCTGCTTCATGAATATTTGAGACAAAGATGCAAAATAATTGTTTTTCTGCCTATATAATCATAAAAATATTCTCCTGAATTAGCTATTCTGTGGAACTGATGTAATGATACATTTGCATTAGCCTGTTTTGCAAACTGTTTAAAGATATCTAGGATACTATGAAGAATACATTTCAAATTTTTGTTTCTAACATGTTATTTTTGTTCTTTGCAGTTACAAAATAATAAAGGACCCATGTAACTGGATCACCATGAATAATGACGGTCAGATCAGCACCACTAAAATGTTAGACAGGGATGCACCAGATTTACAGTTATATCAATGTAATGTAACAGTTGCTGCAGTAGACCGAAGTGAGTAGAAATGCCTCAAATCATATATGTTTTAAGTCACTTTCTGCTATATGTTTATTATGACTTCCTATGCAAGATCCTCCCTTAAAGAAATGCCAGGAGTATTGATGAGATTGAAACATAAAAGTAAAGCAGCATATAAGTTTACTTTGCAAATATATTGGATATATAAATAGTCCTTACAAACTGCAAACCGGGACTGTCAACTCCATTGCTAAGTGATGTAGTTAAGTGGAATAAAAGATACTAATTTACTCACATGTGCACACTTCCAAATCAAAACTTAGGCTTGTGAAGTGAAAGTCAAAAGGATTTAATAAGCAGTGGCACCAGTTCTTTCATTACCACCAAATTTTCTATCCCTGTATACTTATACTGGTTGCTATCATCTGGCATTCCCAGTTTAGGTAGTCTTTGACAGTATATGTAATTATGGCCACAATAGGGACCAGAATTTGTGTTGTTAAGCAAGGTGGCTGCTAAGTGAGTTGTACCCAACTTTATTACCTTTTTGCCATGATTGGCATGGTGGTGCAGGGTTAACATTCATTATTGCAGGCTAATTCTGCTGACTGCCAACTGCCAGCAGCTCAGCAGTTCGATTCTCATTGGCTCAAGGTTGATTCAGACTTCCATCTTCCGAGATTGATAAAATGAAGACTCAGATTGTTGGGGCCAATATGCAGACTTTGTAAACCGCTTAAAGATAGCTGTAAAACACTGTGAATATGAGTCTAAGTGCTATTGCTATTGTTAAGTGAATCTTGGTCATTAAGTGAGCCTGGCTTCCCCTGTTGACTTTGCTTGTTGGAAACTGGCTGACAAGTTTGCAAATGGTGATCACATGATACTGGGACATTGCAGCTATTGTAAATACATGCCAACTGTCAAGCATGTGTTCATGCAACCGTGGAGACGCTGCGATAGTCATAAGTGTGAGGACCGGTTGTAAGTTATTTTTTTCAATGCCATTGTAAGTTGAGGACTACCTGTACAATGCTTCCTCCTCATTCATTTAAAGAAAGAGAATCTGCCCTCAGTGTAAAAATGCATAGCAAAGATCTAAGTTCCATGCATATATTTGAAATAATCCCAAATAGTTTAAAAAATGTTCAGGTTCATAGTATTTGTTTATTCATTTATTTATTTTATGCCATATGTACATGGTTGCCTAGCTCACAAACAAATGTCTTAGTGCAGTGTAAAAGAAAATTAAAAGCAATATATAGAAAATGATTATTAATGTTATTTTGGAAAAACTTTAACATTATAAAGGGCACAAAATATTGGGCAAATAAGCAGGTGTTAATTTACTTGATTTGGAGGAGCTACCATACAGACAGCTGTTGTGTTAATACATTTGTTAATGTCACCTTGTTTACATTATATAGTGTATGGCCTTCTCTTGGGATTTGCATAATATTCCCAGTCTTCCCTGTGAAAATATCTTCCTTATATTGCGAATGAAGCCAATGTATTCTTAAATTGATTGATTGCAAAAGTCATACCTTTCCTAATGCTAGTGAGCATATGCAAAATTGAAAAGTCAACCTGAAAAGCCTTGTGAAATTTTTAGTTGTGGTATTCATTCCTGGATTTAGCTTTTCCTTTGTTTAAACTTGCAGTTAACTCACCAGCTAATCATGGTTAGATTTGGATTATATTTGGATAGGGGAACCCAGGAATACAAGAGCCTCTCATTTATTTCTAAAATTGCTTATATTTTTTTAGGTGGCAAAACAGGCACTGGAACAGTTATAGTTAATCTACTCGATGAGAACGATAATTACCCAGTCATTGTTCCTAAAGAGTATACAATATGCAGAGATAGAAAACCAATTTGTCTTACTGCTGTGGATGCTGACATAGATCCTCACACAGTTCCTTTTACTTTTTCCATTCTTGAAAAAGAGACCCCAAACTGGAGATTAACTGAAAATGATGGTAGGTGCTCATTTCTAAAATCGGAATCTTTTACAGTTGACCTAATACATTTGAAATAATATTCACTCCATTCATTTTTAATATTATTTTTTTTGCAGACAGATCAGTATATTTGGAACCATCTGATGCTTTAAGCTATGGCCAGTACATAATTCCTATTAGAGTATCTGATAATGAAGGCAACTCTGGGATTTCTGAAATCAAAGTTACACTGTGTGATTGTACAGTTCCTCGAGATTGTATTTACCCACCAAAATCGATTGAACCACATAAGTCCTCAGATGTCACTCTTGGTATTTGGGCCATCCTTGCTATGATTTTGGGATCACTGCTGCTGTTGTGTAAGTTTACTTTTTCCTCTTTTTTGACTAGAAAACTGAGGTACTGAATTATGAAATGCTTTTGACACCTTAAGTTTGCAAATCAAGTTTGCTGATTTATGTAGAATTCATTCATATATAAATTTGTCCATTGAAATATTTGAAGCAAGTAAAGATATTGTGACGGTATTTCAATCTATTTAGATGCTCCAATACTGTACCCTGGTTTTGCATGTCTCTGTCCTATCCGAATGCAGGGAGGTCAGTGTGGTGTACCTAAGCTAGGGCTGCAGGGGAATCGGTTTTGCTGTTTAAGAAGGCTGCATTTATTGCATAATTATCCCAGTCTTCTTCTCTCACTCTTTCCTTTACATCAACATATAACAAAATAATTTACATATTTGTAAAATTAAAAAAAAATAATGGATTCATATTTAAACAGGCCAGAGATTTAAATAACGTTAATAACAGTTTCACCATCTACTGTACTTCACAGTTGAGCAATTTTCTGCTGAAAAAGCTTTAGGATTTCTTATATAAGCCTTTACCTTTATTGTACTAGAAGCACTATAAATCAGGGCCAACCACTATTTATTTAAAATGCTACTGAATTTGGATTGATCATGAAGATAGATTTTAAATTATCCATGTATTGAAGGTTGTTGAAACAAAATGCAATTATATAATGCGACACATAATCGGCCATGTTCCCAATGGTATTTTTTTTTATTTAGAAGCTTAAGAGTCTCTCCCCCCTCCCCACATTTAAATCAACTGCAAGCATTTTGTTAGAACAAATGATTCCAAATTAGGAGTCTCTGTGGGCCAGCCAAATGTTGAAACAGTAAATTTTCTTGTATATTGAATGCATCAGCAAGTCTCAGCCTGCATCTTTCCTCTACCTCTTTGCCAAACTCGCTCAGTTTGCTCCCACGCCTTGGAAAAGTGCGGGAAGGTGGTTCCATTCATTCTATAGAGCAGGGGCCCCCAAACTTGGCAATTTAAGATTTGTGGACTTCAACTCCCAGAATTCTCCAGCCAGCTATAGATCTCTGCTATACAGAAATTCTTGTTCTAGGGTAGGTAGACCACATTAATGTACAATGTTTTTTGATGGAACAGCTCTCTTTTTGTCTTCCCGTCATAGTTTGAATAATAGGAGAACTACAAATAAAGCTTTCTTATTTGCTGTGGCAAATAATAAGCTACAAGTTTATTGCTTTTAGAATTTGACATGATGATAGATAGCATGCAGCTTCTGGAAACTTAAGAGAATTAAAAAGTGAAATGGCTGTATTAGAGGGAAACAGTAGTTGATTTTCACTATTTTTGATGGATAGTACAATAGATGTAATTAATATTACTAACAATTAAATGTGCTGATAATCTCATTATTATAATCTCATTATAATATCACTGTTTTTTGTCCTCCTGTAGTAATTCTGATCACGCTTTGTGGATGTTTTGGTGGTGCACCCATGGCTGGTACTAAGCATGTTTATGATGATTTAGCCAATCAGAATTTAATCATATCTAATACTGAAGCACCTGGAGAAGAAGTGATGGTAAGTAACATTATGATGCTTGGCTAGAGAGGTTGCAATTGGTGCCAGTACTTGTGCCTTTTTTTGAAATTCTTGTATTGATGATTAATTTAGAATGTGTAGGATGGATACCAAAGCAGGTGGCTATTAAAACAAGTGTCAGGACTGTAATAAATGATATCATACTTACTTAAATTATCCCTATTGATTATAGCTTTCTAGCTTTACTTTACAGCCCTGCAACTACTCTTTCACCCTCCACCACCAGAGTAAGCATTGCAGGTTAGATAATAATGAGGATTGTCTAGTAGTCACTGATGCTGCTTAAGACAAAAGAAGAAAATAATTATCTGATTGGAGTTAAAGCTGGAATTTTGATATCTCACAGCTTGCAAGAATAGGGCACAGCTTGCAAGAATAGTCCAGCTTGTCTAAGTAGCCTCTTGTCCAGGTGTTAAAAGAAAGATGCATGTCAGTCACAGGGCAATGTGGGAAAGGGTAAAGTGAAAAAGATAACACTGAAAGAGTGGAAATATTTTTTTAAAATTACTTAAACTTCAGCTGCGTATAAATAGCCTTCCCAAATTCTGAATCCTTTTTTGAAATAGAGAAATTTGCAATGGAGGGGAAAAAAATCTTAAACTTCCCCTTAAACATAATAATAATAATAACAATAGTAACAACCACAACTTTTGTGACACTACAGATGCAAGCTTGGGTTCTTCCTAAGGATCTTGGAGATTGGTGGCAATGTCAGCTATGATGTGATCTTTCTCATTCTTTACAGTTCCTGGAAGGGAAAGCCAAAGCTTTGTGGGTGGGATTCAACAAAATATTTTGTAATATTCCCGTTAATATCAGGCTTCTTTTTTTAAAATGATCATGGCTTTAATTTGAAAAGCAGATCTTTTCATTTAATTCTTATATTCCGAGTGTCAACGAGATTCTTATATTGCATGGGAGTCTACTATTTCAATAGAATTATTTTAACAGCTCAAGAATAATGCAAAGATGTTACTTTCTAATAAACAAACTGCCCTGTTTTAAATAGAATTGGCCATGCTGAGCAACATTTTCATTTTTGGTCATTAGATAAATGGTTTTCTTAATGTATATGGCATTGAGAAAAATGTAATCTCAGTTTCCACTGGATTATGATTTTTGAATTAAAGTTGGTATTCTATCATGGGGTGTATATGATGACTTCAAGTATCTATGCAGCCCGGTAGAAATGAGATGTAATAATTTAATCTTAATATCACAGAACTCTCCAAATTCTGTCATACACAAGGGTGATGAAGATAAACAAATTACAGTTACTTGCAATTATGCAACTTCAGGGATACTTAATAAATTGGTCACATAGTAAATCTACATGTTGTAAATAGAATATCTTGGAAAAGTTTGTATTTTTTGTTTCTACAGTTCTTCTAATATTTAAACCAGCTGTAAAATAACATCTAAATCTTCATTGCTTTCTCTTCAAACATTCTAAAAAAAAAACTTTGCCATTTTTCCCCTTTCAGGATCCGAACATACTTCCTGTGAAAACAGGAAACATAGTTACATCTGATCAAGGGGTTGTTTCTGGAGTAAAAACTGGGGGACAGGAAAGTTTTGAAATGGTCAAAGGAGGACACCAGACCATGGAATCGATTAGGGGAGGAGCACAGCACACCTTGGAATCTCACAAAGGAGCAGGGCATCATACTATAGAATCTGGAAGAGGATATGGGCAGTCCATGATGGATACGTACAAATACAATTATTCAGAATGGCAGAATTACACATTCCCTCGTCTGACTGAGGTAAGGCTGCTAACCAATTTCTTCAGCATGCAACTGTCTAAATCTGTGAGTGACAAATTATTTGGGATCTCACTGAATTCTCTGAATAGAGAATTTTCTACTGTTTATAGAATATTCTTTTTAATTGTCTTCTTGTCTCTGGATTTAGGTGAAATATTTTTTTGCTTTGTTTATAAATTACCATATTGTTTAGAAAGATTGTTTATTTGGGCTTGGGATTTATAATATCTGTTTGCTTTGTTTTGTTCCCACCTGTCATACTGTTGGTTCTTCTTTCTTTGACTCAAACAAGTGATTTTTAAAAATGTGAGAGTCCTTGTTGCCGAAGGGCTAGGTACACATGTCAATAATAAATCTAAGCCAATATAATCCACTAGTGTTTCATTACTAATTTATACACAAATAATATTTAATTTTATTAGCAATTGCTTTAGAAATGCTAAATTGTATATTTGTGATCAGTAGAAATCTGATTCTTTTTGTTATAGTCTTCATAGATTGAATGATATAGACCAATCATGTGCATTTTTTATATATAGGAACCCATTAGAGGACACACTCTGATTAAAAATTAAACATTAAAAGGTAAATCAATGAAATTTATTTTATGGCATATGTTGTGGCTAGTTTAAGGAAACAAATGACCTTTTTTTTCTTTTTCCTGTGCAGAAAGTATATCTGTGTGGGCAGGACGAAGAGCATAAGCATTCTGATGACTATATTCTTTCATATAACTATGAAGGAAGAGGATCGCCAGCGGGCTCTGTAGGCTGCTGTACTGATCAGCAAGAAGAAGAGGCACTTGACTTTTTAGATCAGTTGGAACCAAAGTTTAGGACATTAGCAGAAACCTGCGTGAAGAGATAGATGACAGAGTGGAAAATCATCACTGCTATGCAGAATAGCTGTTTCAAATCTTGAATACACCAGATTCATGTTTCTTGTTTTTCCTGTAATGGGTGTGGCTAATCAAAAGTACATCCTAACATTAGGTTTGTCAGGACTAAGGTTTCTATATCTAAACTTCATGTGCTGCATTCTATTTTGTTTTAGACTCTCTTTAGCTGTCATGTCAATCTATAATTAACTTGCTTCCCAAATGCAACAGATTCTCATTTTATTATTTTTCTAGATTTCATGGGGATTATTTGGGGCTGCTACTCCCATGGTTTTCAGGTTTCAACCATGATGCCTAGGAATTTTGGGTGCTCTGCCACATCTTTCTCCACTGGGGAAATTGACTGTAGGAAAACTAAGTTCTTTATTTCTTACTTTTAGGTATTGCGCTTTAAGCTAGCTATGGTATTTTTGCTTGGATGTCAGCAAGCTTTCTTTAATTTAGTTAAATCTTTAGCTTTATAGAGAGAAATGGCAAAGGATTGCAGTTATTAATTACTTGCACCTTATGAAAACAAAGATTCTGTTTTCAAAACAAGATGCCATTTTTTTCTGTAACACCTTCCTTTCTAGTCTTATAACCTCTAGCTTTCCTCTGTTTTTCTCCTTAGCAAACACCCAGTGTTTTATGATCACTGAGAATAATTGGGCTTTATCATCTTTTTTTAGGGTTGGATTGAGGGTTGGCAAGGGTACTTTGGCAAAGTTTGGTTTTCCCCCTAAGCCTTTGCTTTACTCTTTTATATGGATGTTGTTCTTTTGACTAATAAAGATATTTTAACAAAGAAATTGCTTATATACAATGAAATGTCTGTGTTAAATAAATCTTTTTGATTAGACAATATACAGAATGAAAAGCAGAAATGGTTTAATGGTTTAATCTTAACAGTACAGTAAATAAAGGGATGTATTTACTAATATTGCAGATACAAGCATAGAAGTGAATATAAAAAGTGCAAAGGCAACAATTTTCCGCAAGTGTTTAATGGCAAAGTGTTATTTGCCTTGTTTACCCGAGGACTACTGCTATTCCTTTAGTGTAGTTTTTAATCACATCATAAGCAGAGGTAAAACTTGGGGGTGGAAGAACTACTAATATCAGCACTGCATTTTGTTTTCTGTCATCAAAAACAAAACTGTTTAAGGCACAATGTATGCTGACTCTCCATTTTATGTAATGAATCATGCTTTGCAATTTTCATGCATGAACTAACATGGTCCTTATTATCCTGGTGTAATATAGATTCGTGATATTTGTGTACCTATACTTAAAGAATTGGAGAAATACATAAGGTGCTAGAAATCTATAATCATAAAAATTGGCACGAAGTATATAGTATTTGAAGGTACTTTTTTGGAGACTGAAGCTTTTATCTTCACAGGTATAGCCTCAACATGGAGCTGAATCTAGTCTTCCTTAAAGTAAATAATTGGAAAACGTTATAACTCATTTACCTAATTAATTACAATTAAGGTACTTTAAATATAATTGAGTCCATATACATTTTACAGATCTTTTAATAAGAGATAAAGTTCTGATAGGCTATATGTACTACTGAATATGAATTCTTTCAAAGAAAAGTGTTGTTGCTGCTATTGCTGTTGTTACTAATAGTAGTTTCGGTTGTATTCCTGATATGAACATTTAAGTGCATCAATAGGAAATGACCAGCTCTGATATAATTGGATATAAAAGCACAAAATGTTTTTTTTAATGCACATAATATCTTAAATATTAAAAGAAATATCTTAGAAAAGTAGGAAATAAATTATGGATCAATGTTTTACTAAATGCCTTGCCAATTTCTGAAATTTAATAGTGTGAACTTTAAAAGATTAAATACAAGCAAGAAAAATTGACTTAATCAAGGCTTCATTCTTAACTATTTTTCTAGAAATAATAGAGAATGAGCTACTTTGTAAGTTTTGAAAACTTTTTTAAAAAAAAACTAAAGTCACCTTAGTTATTTGCTTAACATATGCATCATTTAAGCAAAAATGCTGGATGGGAATTCTGTGAATTCTAGTCCAATATAACTGGAGGGTGCAGTATTTGGTGGCTCTGTAGTACTCCATATAAATTTTAACTGTTATATGACTATAACCATTGAGGGTAGTTGTGGTTTTCCATCTTCTGCTCCTTTCCCTTCCTTCCAGATATATGACATTTATAATTTAAATGTATTCTCTTCGTAACTATTATAAAAATAAAACCCTCCAGAACAATGTATATTCTAAAGAATGTTACATTGTCATAAAATAGCAATTAGATTTAAATTTATTCCTCCTTATCAAACTTTTGTCAGTGTCTGTGTTACCAGTAGTTTAGTGAAACTGAAGTTCAATTTTTGTCAGTTTAAAAATTATGGTCATTGTAAAATCCTATGGCTGTAATTAAGAAAAGAAGAAAGAAAAGAATGTACTAAGTATGAAATATAAAATAGAAATTCAAAATCAGACTTGGTATAAATAAAACTGATAAGAACACATGCTGTATTGCTAAAATCATGTAATGGGCTGAGACATCTTCAGTTAAGCTTTCTTGGTCATAAAATTGGCCCTTGGCTTAAGCCAAGTTGTTCATTTCTGAACACTGTGGTTGTAATATAGGGATAATACTTAGTATTGCACTGTATTTGAGGTGCTTTGAATGTTCAGGCAAAGTTTTGTACATGCATTATTATAATTTCTGGCTTTTAAATAGCTTAGACATGGGTTTTCTCTGTTTTCCTCTTTTTATACCTGCCTAGTACAGGCAGTCCTCAACTTACAACTGTTCATTTAGTGACCAGAGTTACAATGGTACTGAAAAATGTGACTTATGACCCTTTTTTCATAGTTACAACCTTTGCAGCATCCTCATGATCATGGGATCCAAATTCAGATGCTTGACAACTGTCTCAGATTTATGATCGTTGCAGTGGTAATGCGATTACCTTTTGTGACCTGAGAAGCAGAGTCAATGGGGAAGCCAGATTCAGTTAAGAACCAGGTTACTAACTTATCAACTGCAATGATTCACTTAACAACTGTGGCAACAAAGGTTGTAAAATGGGACAAAACTCACTTAACAAATGTCTCATTTAACAACAGAAATGGGCTCAATTGTGGTCATAAATCGGACTTCCTGTACTAGCAAATCTTTTAATTATGATATTATTAAGACTTCTTCATTCTATGGAGTGCAAAGATATTAGGGTGTGTGTATTTTTTTAGAACTAGGACTTTTTATCAGAGGTCAATAGCAGGTAAATCTCTTTCTAAAAGACAGTTGTTGGTTGTTATCCATTTTTTCCCCCATACAGCAATGCTGAGACATACAGATCAGGCTAGAATGGGACATATGCATTTTTGGCAGATTAATAAGAGAAATCTCCCTTTAAAAGAATGTTAAAAGTTGTAGTAGTCTTTAATCTCTCATTTGGAAAGAGGTAAAGATTGAAATAATGCTTGTTTAAATCTTAAATGTGAAGTTGAAATTTTGTGTATTAAATTACAAAAATATAGTTAAAAGTATCACAATTTACCAGCAAAGTATCTTCCAATTTAAAATGATTTGGTGTTTTTTGCAACTGTTTCTAAGTAGTTTTTAGTTGTTTAAACATACTGTATAATTTCATATCGTAAAATTATTTTTACATGAACAATACAATGTCCTTTGTGTAAAAATAAAGATAACTTCTGTAAAACCTGCTTATTTCTTTTATGTTCTAACTGATGTTCACTGGCAAGAATAGATATAGTTTGAGGTTTAGCTGGAGCTTATTTATTGCTCAAGTTTTACCATTTTCTACAATGCAGAAAAACAATTAACAGTCAATATCCTTTACAAGTGTTGCAAAGTTGCTCAGTTATATAATAACTATGATGCGCTTTGAATACCATTGTCAATCAAAAAGCATTTGACAGAGAAGAACATGCAGAAACAGTTTTTACATGTGAGTTGATGAGTGAAAAATCCAAGCACAGAGTCCATAATGTAAACCTTTTCTAGAACTTTCTGATTGTATGGATTTTGTCAACTTCAGTGATGGTAGATTAAGAATAGAGCCAGAATGGTTCTCAACTGTTACAGGGTTTGATTCCTACACAGAAACATTTTTAAATTACAATCTTCATCAATTACTCCATAGCAATTTCTGTCAATCGTATTTCATCCTTGATTTATCAAGGATTATATCTCATTATTGTATATCAGCTATATTGTATTTGCGTTTAGCCAAATTTATATAAAATGATACAGTAAAATCCATCTGTAAAAAAATTGTAATGCAAATAAGATTAAAAGCACAATGTACATTTTTACTAAGGTATTTTTCTAAGTTATTTTATTCCTGTCCTATTTCACGGGAGTTTGATATGCTATGCTTTGAAATATCACATTCTCCCAGGTCACTGAAAATCATTATTGCTTGGACTTTTCCCCGCCAATAAATATTGAATTAATCACAACATAAACGGATACAGCTCAGATTAGCTAATTACTGCAATCTGATCAGTTCATAGGCGGTTGCACAGTTTTATTATCTTACACAGTTTCAGCTGATACAGCTAGAGAAAACCATTTCTTTTGTCATTTTAATTATCCTAAAGGAAATGCAAGAAAAAAAGAGAACTCTGGGTGAATATCTGAACTGATATTTATTTATTCATTCATTCATTCATAAATTTTACTAAGATTTAAGGAGTCAGTTATCATAACTGAGGAATCATTTTCCTGTTATGGTGCAGCAAGATGATAAACGTGGGTTATTTTAATTACTTTGGAATTTGCTTTTGAGAGAAATCTCTTGTCTAGTGAAGGGGCTAACCCATTTGTTTCACAAATAGTCCTTATAAGGTAATTTCGAGGGACTATATGTATATTTTTCCATGCATTTATTGGGAAAACACCAGACAAGCACCAGAATCAAAGTCAATATGAATGCAGTAAAATGGTTCTGCTCACTGAGAACATATTGCTGGCAATTTAGTTACCTGAAATTAGTTCATCTTTTTGGCCAAAATGCAATCTTCATCCTTCATCCTAAGAAAAGAGGTGAAGTCAAAAGATTTAATTGTTAAGTTTTGTTTAAAATGTTAAATTTTGTTAAAAGATGATTGCAATAAATAATTTCAGGTTTTCCTTTCCTTTTTTTGTTTCATGTTTGTTTTCTTTTTCAGTCAGCAATATATATCTGATTGCTAGTTATAGGTAATTAAAAATAGGTTTAAGATACTTTTTCAACCCTGACTAAAACAGGGTTGGAAAGCATAATTAAAATGTGGCCTATAATAATCTGGGGGGAAAATGTACCCTAAATAAAAATGTTTGTGTTTTAAATACATTGGCTGAGCATTGAACAAAAGAGCCAATTTGGTATAGTGGTTAAAGCATTGGGCTAGAAATTTGGAGACTGGATTCTAGTTGGGTCACCTTGGGCCAGTCACTTTCTCTCAGTCTTTGGGAGGATGCAAACAACTTCTACAAAAACCTTGCAAAAAAAGCTGCAAGAATTTTCCTGGTAGTTTCTGAGAACTGCACACAATTGAATGTGAAAAGAAAAAAATGTACATGCTACAGTTAACTAAATAATTGCATACTCTGTACTTAGGACTTACCCTGATTAATTATTTTCCTTTTGAACATACTCTAGTATCATTCATGAATTGTGGAGAAAAAAATCTACATAGCAAATGGAAATACATATATGGATTAACATCCAGATACCTCCCATAATTCATTGGTAACTGTAATTTCTCCTACATTATTTCACAAAGGAAAATCTAAGCAAATTAAAGGGACAGGAATTAAAACTTGACCAATTACTACCTTCATCTTAGTTTTCTTTAAGTTCTTCCTAGGTTTTGGAAGGTCTTCATTCTCTATACCAATGTTCCTTTAAAGCAGGGATGGGGGCAATGGCCCCTTTATGACCTGTGAACTGGCTCAGGAATTCTGGAAGTGGAAGTCTACAAGTCATAAAAGGACCATAGGTCCTGCTTTAAAGAGATAAAAATGATAATGTGTTTATAATAAATTGTTAATTTGACTTTTGTATAGCATAGTAAAGGACAGGATGATATTTTTTGCCTTTCTCTTCCTTAAACCTCATTTTGTACTGAAAAAGAAATAGCTTGATCAGTAAAAAGAAAATATTACTTTCTGCAGAGCTACCTAATCAAGGAAGAAGTCTAAGAACAAAGTATTGTTGCAAAGACTCCTGGAGCTATTGTCCTGTCATTAGCAGATATCGTAATATTTAATCATTGCATTGTTTTGGTGCCAGATTTGGCAAATTGAGAAGTTAGCCTTTGTAGGTTGGCAGGCAAGGTACTGGTTTTTAATTAGATATGGAAGGCATAATTCTACTGTCTTGGAGAAATTATCTAGAATCTAAGCAGCAGCAGTATATAGTTTTTTTATTCATTTATGTACACAGGAGCATAATAAAACACCCAGTGAACTCCATTTTCTTGTCAAATCTTCATGCTGCTCTTACCTAGGCAACACTTTTCCAAAATAAAATAAAGCAGGTGTTTAAGCCAAGATCTCTAGCAGATCTCAGGTGATATATAAAGCATTTAAATATGTTGAGAGAACATGTTGAACCATAAGCTATATTTGTATAACTCCAATGAGATTCTGAACTGCCATATTCTATCCAAGTCCAAGCACTAAGTTGCTTTCAAACACAGCCTCAAGTAGATGTTTCTATTAGCAGAACCATGAAAAATTAAAAAGCTTTATTCAACGCAAACATGGCTAACTATTCAGCATAAATGGCTTGAAAAGGCAAAGAAACTAATTGGAATGTGAGCAATTCTAATCCAGATTTTAAGTGGATAAGGACACTGTCCTCCTCTCTTTTTCCATTCCTCTTTTGTTTTACACAAATATATTGCGAGTGAAAGGACAGATGAACCTTATGACAATCATGATAATATGTTTGGCATATGAATTTTGAAATTAAAGGCTGCATAAAATTAAATTAAAGGTCTACGTACATAACCTTTGCCTGCTATGTTTGAAGTTATAAGTACAATATTTGCACTATATATGAATTATACAATAACTTTTTTGAGGGACTCCCAAATATGTATCCACCATTATTCTCAAGCATTTAACTTTTCATCATAGCTTTCATGCTGAACAAACAGGAAAGTCGCATAGTAGTGTTTGTAACTGCAGTTACATAGAAATGTCATTTCATGCATCAACCCACATTCCTTTAGTTATTAATTTAGCTCTACCAATAGGTGGAGTGAATTATTTGTCCCAAGGGACAATGGATGATTGGGGAGGAGAGGCAGTCACTGGAAGTTGTATGTTGATTGTAGTCTGCTCAGCAATACTATGATAGTTGTCAATTAGCACTGAAGTGAGATTAGCTTGGACATCAGTCTAGCTTTGTGCATGAGATGGATATAAAATGGGAAAATACCAGCTTCCTTTTGCCTTAGTGGCAAAGAAGTGACATTTTAAAGAAAAGGCAAGTGTATAAATTCAACTTAAATTCTTGCAAGATTTATATGAAATTGCAATCCTATTCTTCAATTTGGACAGCTAGAATTGTGCCAATTTTATTGTCTATCTTTTAAGCACCTTTGATTAAAGTTAAACCAGAAAATAAGTTCAAAGACTGCAAACACCTCACATACTCCTTTGTTGTTGATGAAAATTTTCAGTCATCCAGGTAGAGTTGTCTGGAAGTTGAGTCATGGCAACTGGACTTCTTTTCTTGTTGCTTTGAAATGTTTTGCTGCTAATACAAGTAGCTTCTTCAGTCTCAGCAAGTTGGTTAGTTGGTTAGGGGTGAT